GGTGCTATTTTATATGACACTGCAAGTGGAATAGCATCCCTTATTCTAGTTCATAACATGTAGTAACAAAACAGAAGCCAACCATTTCTTGCATAGTTCCTACCAAATTGTAACCAATATGACAGTGCTCATGGCAAATTATGCTTCAATAGACTTTATTCAAGAGGATGTACTTTACCGTGGTATTCTACTCTAATATTCTTATGCTTCATGCACATTTTCCCATGCTGGTTACTGTAACACTCCATGAAATCATGTGAAGTTATCCCCAAATTCTCGGGAAACAGTGGACTAGAAATGGCTCAACTTTGTCACTTAAGTATGCATTCAAGTTTTTGTGTACTCTTTCTCTTTTTCTGTCTTCTTTAGAGGAGAAATTTTTATTGCAGTTTCTTCCTTATTTAATAGCTGAGGGGGCCTATTAGGCCAAATCTTTTTCTGAAGTTCCTCATTGCTTCTTTAACTCTCTGAACAAACTTTTAACTTTTGTTACTACTTCAGATACGTTCATCTAGTACAGGGGTCCTCAAACTTTTTAAACAGGGCCAGTTCAAGGTCCCTCAGAATGTTGGGGGGCCGGACTATAGTTTGAAAAAACCATGAACGAATTCCTATGTACCCTGCACAGAGGATCCCTTCCGTGGAGTATGAGGAGAGGAGGAGAGCCGCTGGACCCGGCATACCTGTCATGTAGAATAGTCCGGCTCTGCGATCTCCCTCCTTGTGCATCGCTTGTAGCTCCCGACACAGCCCCGACACTTCTGCTTCTGACAGACAGCGGCGGCGGCCAATCAGGCAGGCGGGCCAGATAAATGACCCTGGCGGGCCGTATCTGGCCCGTGGGCCATACTTTGAGAACCCGTGATCTAGTAGATTCCATCTTGTGATAAATTTTTCAGGCAAAATTGTGGCCATTTATAGAATAGGGTTTTTATTGTCACCCAAAGTGTGTCTGTCTTCAGTGACTCCTCTCTCTCTCTTCCCCCCCCACCTTTGCTCTGCAACAGGCCAACTTCCCACTTCTTTTTTAAAAATTAAAATAATGTTTTTTTAACAAAGTAAAGTTAGATGAGCAGGAAATTTGACCAGCATCAAGGGAGGAATCAGCAGGCACATTCATTTCCTGTTTCTGAGGTAAAAGTACAACAGAGCTGCATACAGCAGGCTCACCCCAATGCCTCTACTCAACTGCTTACTCCTCATAGGGTTCATCGGTGGTGGTCAAGGGGGCAGCCAGGAATATTGCCCATATTTTCCAACTTCCCTGGTTTGGGTAAGACATTGTCCAAAAAATCTGAGAAATCCCAAGATTTTTTCCAGCAGTGGAAAAGAAAGCTCAGTCATAGACAGAGAATGACGCTTTGCTTAAATGAAAATATGGAATTATTTCAGGAAGATATATTTCAGGCCAAAGGCCAACCCTTAGTTTAATTTGTAGAAATAAAACAGTAGAATATAATGTTTAATCAATAGCCTCTAATTATGGATTGTTGAGAGTTTGAGTGGACAGTGATAAGTTCTGCTTCAGCCTCAGTTCTCATTCATTATCTTGGTTTGGGCTTAGGGCAACAATCCCATAGTGACAAACATGGCTTCAGTCCCAGTTACAGGTAGTCCTTGACTTATAAGCACAATAGGGACCATAAAATTCATTGTTAAGCAGTGCAGTTGTTAAGTGAGGCATCGTGACCACACCCAATTTTACGACCTTTTTTGACACGGTAGTTAAGCGAGACATCTTGTGACTGTGACTTGCTACCTTCCCTGCCAGCTTCCCCATTGACTTTGCTTCTCAGAATCTGGCTGGGAAGATCACAAATGGCGATCAAGTGACCACAGGACGCTGCAACCATCATAAATGCACGACAGTTGCCAAGCGCTGGAATCACGATCACGTGATCGTGCTGCGATGATCGTAAGTGCTAGGAATGGTCATATGTCACTTTTTTCCACTGCCATTGTAACTTCAAAAAGTTGCTAAACAAATGGTCGTAAATCAAGGACTACCTATACAAATGTCTTCTTTTGTGATTCTCTCTCTTTATGATTTAAGAGACAAAATGTCTCTTAGGAGAGGGGTGGGAACAAACAGAGAAAAAAGAATTTCATATTGTACCATGCAGAAACCATGTCCCTCTTCCTTATGCTATGTCAAGGAGGTAGGTAGCTATAAGCTGTCTCTAATCTGAAAATGTCTTGAATGTGAACATATTTTTTCTGAATTGTTGTAGCTGGGAAAACTTGCAGTGATCTAACCAGCCCCATTTATGGCGTAGTTCATCCAATTCTCAATCCTGACTTGTTTTGATTTTTACTGCCTGCCTTTGTGCCTCCCTCTCTGTATGTAATTTTCTGTGACCCAGCCTAGTAATGGTTATCTCTGTAGCACTGACATTGCCTGATGATTGTAAATAACCTATACCGGGTGCTGCTGTTTTGAAGTTTGCTGGTTCCCTGGTCCTTGGACTCTCTACATGGGTTGCATCAAAGCAAAGGGGGCTAACCCATCAATCAGGTCTTTTCCAGAGCCAGGTCTTTTCACATTGGCTGTTGCTAAAGAGGGAAGGGGAGGGGGGGAGAGAAACAACTCCTGAGTGGTTTATACTTTGGATCTGTAGCAAGCATGTATTTCTCTGGAAAAGGAAGACAGATATATCCCTTTATTGGTTCCTATCATGACCAGATCTAGAGTGAACCTTAAAGCAAAGTGGAAAAGTTTGGCAGTACTAGATGTTCTGTGCAGTGACGAAAGAGAGTGGGGAGAAAAAGTCATATTCCCCACTCCTCCCTTCCTTTCTCTCTAGTTTGCCAGAAACTGCAGTTTAGATCAAAAAGAGATGTAGAATACATGTAGGCAAATTTAAAAATAGATCCTCCTGGATGTGAGGGAAGAAAATTGCTGAATGTACTAGCTGGAGGAAAGAGCCCATGGCCTTTTCTGATGTAGGGAAGTGAATTGTAACATTCCCAATAAAATTGTAATTAATCACTTTACCCTTAAGTGTTTGCAAAACATGGAAATGGCAAGGAATATTGAGGAGAGTGATTAAATCTGAAGATCAGTAGTTTACTTTCCAGGAGATTTGACAGAGGCAACTTTTTAATACAATTGACTGGAAATTTGCTTGCACAATTCTGCTGCATTGTGCAGGAGATACAAAGTAGTTCTGTTTCCTGTTCACTGCCAAAGGGCTAACCAGGCAGACTTTACTATGATGTAGAGGTGAAAGGCTTGAGCAAAGCTGGGGAAGATACAAGTGCACAATCCCAGTCAGCCACAAAGTTCAGTGAGAAACAGGGTAGAACAAGTCAGAGGCTAATTTCATGTGTCTCTCTAAGGTATAAACCAGAGCTGTACAACTTAAGACTCTAGAGCAGGGTTCTCCAAAGTGGTCAGTGTTGACCCCCATGGGTCAATGGGACTATCTAAGAGGTCAATATTATTATTAGTAGGAGTAGTTAAAGTAGTATTTATTAAATTATTTTTATATAATAAATCTTTGGGGGTTGCTGAACAGTCTGAAACTTCATGATGGGGTTGATGAGCTGAAGAGTTTGGGGACCCCTGCTTTAGGCCATGTGTGCCATTGCCCTGTATCTCCCCACCTGAGCACCTCCAAAAGTCTACACCAAATTTTAATTTGGCAGAAGAGGAAAATTATTGAATACGTTGGTTATAATTATGTCCCCTATATTTGATTATTTTAATGTTAATTACATTTGAATGCAAATTCAATTCAATCCAAATTATTTTTCCTGGCCTCACCTAATTTTAGAAATATAGCCTCTGATGTAGCATTCAAAGACTTACTGTGGCCCTCGGCCAAAACAGCATTGTACACCCCTAGTGCAAATCACACACTTTACAAACCACAATAGCTGGGTTCACACACCATACCACAATCAAACAACAGCATTATTATTGCAACTAAGCTATTTTTTCTCAGCTTAGTCTAATTCATGTGATTGTTCAAATTAAACATTGGAGAGAAGGAGGAAGAAATCATGTGTACTTCTCTGATATGAAAAAAGGTAGAATAAAAATATAAAGAGGGAGACAAGTTGATATTGTGCTCTTTGGTGTCAATAAATTTACTCTAGTTTAATGTTGAATCCTTAGCCCTTGTTTTTCCATCCAGACTGCTACTTTTCATTAAGCACAGACCTTAGAATTATTCATGCAGCTATTTAGTTATTAGAATTATTCATGCAGCTATTTAGCTATTTAGAAAGCGAACAAGATCTGTTATGGGAGTCACTCTGTAGACAGAATTGTGAAGTAAGGTTGGAGGAGGAGGGAAACAGCTTTGTATTTTTTGTGACTTTTAACAGCAGGGATATGCAAAAATCTGTAAGTGAAGCTTTTCACAGCAGGGAGAGAAGAATGTACACCTGCTAATTGCATCAGATCTGGATGCTACTAAAAGCACAGCTACAGTCCATCTCCCAATGTTTCACACATTTTGTTTATTTATTTAACTCCATTTTGAGGCCACTTGACTCCTTAACAATTCTGGTGGTTTACCATTAAAAAGAAGATGGATGGATGGACGGACGGACAGATGGACAGGCAGCCAGCCAGCCAGCCAGCCAGCCAACCAGCCAATAGAAAGTAACTCAACAAGAACATCCAAGTTTTTAATAGTTTTCTGAAAGTCATTAGGGTGGGAGCAATATATATCTCAAGAAGGTTGTCATTCCAGAAGGCAGGCACTACAGAAAAGGCACATCTCCTGGGTGTCATAAGGTGACACTGTTTGATCAACAAGGCCAGAAATGTGCCTGCTCTGCCTGATCTCACTGATGACTCCTGGATATGTGGACCTAGCTTGAAGATGCTAGGATGTCTGATGGATATTGGTGCATTAGTGATTATGGGTCTGGCAATAAAGAGTCTGTGTAGAGGCTTATGTGGAGGATAAGAGGTGAGAGTCTGGGTGCCCCACTTTGACAAAGAGTTCTACACAAGCCTGAGCAATTGCCTTACCTCATGCACAGAATTTTGTGTATGTCTTGGGGGAGAAGGTCCAGATCAGTCTTCCCCAAACCTGTCTCCCCTCAGAAGTGTTATAATTCTTACCCAGCATGTATTACAGTTCCAGCAGATCTAGAGGCATCAGAATAGGGAAGGGGAATCCAGACAACATATCCCTCTCATATTCCCCTTCCGCTTCAATCATCTTTTTTCTTTCCAAAACGTCAGTCAAGGTACAGTCTTTTCTGCATTCAGTGGTCTTAAACAGATCTTCTCCCATATTGCAACATGTGTTCTAGATCACTGCAAGTAGCAGAATTGTGAGAAATGAGACTACACTGAAGATTCTAAAATATATTTTGTAGGTGCAGCTGTGAACATTTTGGAAATACATCTAAATTTTCTCAACATGACCCAATTTCTAATTAATGCTTTGGTTATCACCGCATTTAGAATGTGGCATGTATGTGTGCGTTTATTTAACTGAAGCATATTTTGCGTTTCTTTGGCTGAGAAGGACTCCCCAAAACCAATAATATGATAGCCCCTACAGGCATACAATCTATTAGCTGCAACATCAAAGGGAAGGGGATTTGGAAGAAGCAAGTACAAACACTAGTTGTTTGTTAGGAAGCTCTTATTGCACCCGGTTGGTATAGAAACAGTCAAGGAAAGGAAAGTTGCCAAAAGTTTCCTGTCTAATAGAGTCATTCTACTTCCCTTCTCCCCCTTTCCTCAGAGTCTGTCTGTTGCCTAGTGCTGTGGGAAAACAATATTTATAATTAAAATCTAAAAGTGCCTCAGCTGAAGAAAAATCCATACTCTTAAGCATCACCACTGGAGTCTCTGCCATATGAAATTGTGAAATGAGTATGGCGGGGTGGGAGACTTACAGTCCTCCAGATGTTACTGAGCCACGACTTCAAGAAGTCTTCAGCTGTATGGCCAAAGATAAAGGATGCTGGCAGCTGTAGTTCAACAACACCTGTAGGACCAAAAGATTCTCTTACCGTTGTTTTATATTTACAATTCATGTAAACACAGTTACTGGCTGGAACAGAATGAAGTATTGTTATTCAGGCACTTCCAAGTCTGTGAGTCAATGAACATCATTTTACCAGGACTGTCAGTAGTTGTTTCTTGTAAGGCTTTTTCCACTTGTGCTTATGTCAGCAATGATAATATCTACCATCTTATTTTCTGCTGGCCTCCTTTTTGATTGCCTTTGATTTTTTCCAAGCATCAGGATCTTTTCCAATGATTCCTGCCTTTGCATTATGTGTCCAAAATATTTCAACTTTAGCTCTGCTATTAGTGTTGGAAGATTAGCAAGAGCCTGACCATGGTGTGCCAAGTTCTAGAACAAGATCAACCTTTTTAATAGTTAAAACAAGACATCTGTGTCACCTCAAAGACAATATCTCAGAAGGCACTGAGTTGTTTTTGCTGCTATAAAATAAGGTTATTCCTCTGGCATCCTTTGCTTAGATTTTTATTTTGTTTTATTGCTGCCCAGGGCCCCTTCTTTGAACTTTCTGGAACCGGCTCAGTCCCCTTCCTTTTCTTTTTTCCCTTTCATCTGCATGCCAACATTGAATATGGTAATTCTGAACTTCTCCAAGTTCAAATTAAGGAACCTCAGTGACATTTTTCATTTGAGGAATGCATCCTTTTATTTTCCCCTCCTGCCCTAGACTTCAGGGAAAGTGTGCAGTGGCTGTACTGATTGTTCTGATGAATGGGATTACCTTGGCTGTGAGTTTTATGTATTTTATGGTTTCGTATATGCTTATATATTGTTTTTTTCCCTTGTTTTTAAATTGTTGTAGTGTTCTTTTTTGTTGTTTTTATATTTGTTTTAATTATTTGTAAGCTGCCCAGGGTCATATACATGAGATGGGTGACTGTATAAATTTGAATAATAAATAAATAGTGAGTGCAAGGAAGCTGATGTACCCCCATGCATCCTCATCCCCATGGTGTATCAGCTATCACTACGATTTGCTGGTGTTCCCTGCCTGGGTTAAATTCAGCTTGCTCCTGTTTGCCAGGGGAGGGGAAAATAATAAATAATTCACATAAGCCCAAAAGGACCTTGGATAACCCTGTTAGATCTGGAGGGCTTGATAGCTGGCAGGACAGCAAGCTAATAATTAGAGAAGGAAAACTTGCCAGGTGCCTCCAAATCAATGTGTTCTTTCGATTAGCTTGTGCACTTGTCACTGGCAGATGTCAGAAGCGAGCTACAGCGATAAATGAGTTGTGACAAAATGTCCTCCTCTGATGTGTAGCCACATAAATAGAAGGCTACATGCATGGTTTTTGGCAGAAGATCTTTCATTGACGATGCTGAAAGGGCTGTAGCAAACTTTTTACCCAATTATCCTTCAGGAGGCTGGCCAGCAATGCATTCTCCTCTCTGGAACATGACAATAGGTCAGAGATTAAGTACTTGGTGTTTTTTTTTTGTTTTGTTTTTTATAAAAAAAGAAAAATAAGAAAAAAGTAGCTGCTTGGTGCTGCTTAACTAAAGGGCTACACCGCTGAATACAGCTTGCAACCCATAACAAAAAATAAAATAAAATGCATTGCTATGCATGACAAGGATGCCCAAGCAATTTTTCCCAACCTGTGACCTACCAATGTGTTCAGCTAGGAATGATGGTAGTTAAAATCCACATATCTGGATTTTAAAAGGGCTATCTTAGAGGCTTTGTTCAGGTAGTTCAGTAATCCTGGGATAGGAAAAAAGCACTATAAACATTTTGTTGAGGGCCAAGAGCCACACTTGACCTTTGAGGGACACGTCAGGGATTGCATTCTCCACAGTAGGTGGAACCAGGGAAAAAAAAAGTGGGTTGGGGCAAGTTCAGGTAATCTGACCGAATTTCACTTGTATTAATTAAATAACCTTCATAGTTTCATAATTACAAGGGTTCTCCATGTAAGTCATGATTTCCCTTTTTCCTTATTTAGAATTGCAGTTCAAGTGACAACTTGGCAGTGGGTTCTGGGAGACCATGGTTTTTGTATCTCCATTAGAGATCAAATGCAGGTGATGCACAGCTCTTCTAATAATAATAAATAAACATTTCTTTACAGGAGACAGCATGATTTAACCAGAGTTCATTCAGTGAACTAAAGCTTCAGCTTTACATAACAATTGCCAATATGAAAGAAAATGATTTAGGGTCCTTTCAGGACAATTAAAAAATGTCTTGTATTCTTTTAGTGCTGTAGTATCTTGTATATAACCACTAAGTAAGGATTGGGTGAGGATTGAAAAGAAAGGGGGCTTAAATCTGTTCATTGTTCTCATTCTGGTTGTTCTGTAGCATAATGGTGCCAACTTGTTGTGAGATAATATAGGATTTGGGCAGATCTTAATCTCATGTTTAGTAGCCTGGCCCAGTGAGGTCAAGAAGAAATCTGATCACTACTTTCATTTGTGAAAACCATTGTCTTGGCTTGCGCCCTCTTCTGGTAGTGAAGACCCTGCACTTCAGCATTCCTCCTGTGCAATCAGATGGTTGCTTACTTTGCTCAATGTAATACTTTGTGTGTGTGAGAGAGAGAGTGAGCGAGCGAGCGAGCATGTACACATATGTCTCCACGTTTAGATACCACATACAACAACAGAAGTTTTGAGGCAGCAGATGGGATTGCTAAGTCTTGTTTGATAGACCTCTTGTGGTCTTAGGAGCTGGGTGACTGAAGTGATGGATCCATTTGTGTGGTAGAGAAAACACTGCCTGTCAATCACTGCCTTTCCACTGCTTGAGAGACATAAAAGCCTATCCAGTGGCAATTTAAAATCAGCCTGTTCTATGTAACTTGAGTTCTTTGGCTCTCTGTCCTTCCTCTCAAAAAGATGCGTGATTTTCAAGCACCAGGCAGTCACGGAGCAATATAGTCCATGGCTATCCATGTGAATGTGGGCTCTGGCAACATCTTCTCCACCTGCTTTTTATAGTAAATTTATGCCAAACAGGGTGCTGTTAAGAATCAATAATGGGTTCTTTCTGGCCTGATCTTTAGAATTAACCACTGGTAGCTCCCAGGAAGGGATTATTATTGACGCCTCCCCTCCAGAGTTGTTGTGGAATATAGACTCCCAAGTTTCTTACATTACATAAGTATCATTTTTGTTGTTGTTGTTATTCAGAAAGGTATTGATGTGTATTTTATTTGTTTATTTGAAAGATTTATATGATCTCCCATCTAATTCAACATGACTCTGGGTGGCTCACAACAACAAATAAAAGACAAAGCACAAAAAATAAAATCATTCCACACAACCTAGGCGCCATAACATTCCTATCCCAAATATACTGGCTCAACTCCCATCCTGGCCAGAGGTGTTACAAAGTAGTAAGCTTTCGTTTCAGCTAAACTTGTTGTTTGTAGAGGCTCTAGATAAGCTGGTGGCAACTCAACAGTGCGCTCTGTTGAGTATTTAGAGAAGAAAGCATCAGATATCTACCGTGGCAGAAGATGCATGTAGCTTTTTCTGCAAAGCAGACATTGGTTCCCTGTTTGACACAATTACTTCAGCTGCAAATTTCAGCCCTGTCTCATGGAAAAACTAATTCTCTTTTATTTTTGGGAGCGACAAGATGTTTCAGGGGTAGGAGGCAGTGGGTAGTACTATGGCAAGGAATTCTGGAATTAGGAATATTATGATAAACTCTTTATTAGCAGCAATTAAAATATATCAGCATTAAACATATAACAAGTAAAACTGGACAAGGGCTAAAGGAGGAAAACCTGCACATTCCTTGCAATTAGGGATGCTTGAAGGAGGCACATGCATAGCTAAATGAGATGTCATAATAAGTAAAAGTTAGGGGTCTCCTTCCTAATTATGCTTCCTGGAAACGATGATTAAGTGAGCTTTTCAGAGCTTAAATTTGGATCTTTCATCTTACTAAAGGTGTTCCTGCATATCACGAGTGAGGGATATGTCCAAATGGCCTCGAGCATCTTTCATACTCGCTGACATTCCCCAGGCCATGTATTTCTTTTCTAATAATCCATTTGGGAAGTAGAGAAGGAATTAAGAACAACTATTGCTTGTTATTATTTTGGAAGTGAGATGCAAGCACTCAGCAGGGGAAAAAAATGAGGCCACTGTGCTGGGTGGGAAGGGAACTGAGTGAAAAGTGGGAAGGAGGGGGAAAGGAAGGGTTTGGTTTCCCTCCAGTTGTATAGAAGTTGTGCAATTTAAGAATCAGATTAACCTGGTATGACTTGGTTTTTCTGCCAGAGTAGATAGGTTAAGTTTCTTGGCACTGGGCATGGTACAGTACATTGTGTGCTGTAAATATGGGTGTGTCAGCCTTGGGTTTTAATGCCACAGAAGTCTTAGAGGCTAATATTCTGCAGCTGTGCAGTACAGAACAGACTTCCTTTAGCTTTTGCCAGGAGAGTTAACTGCATTGTTTGGGTGCGCTGTGGTTCCTTCTTTCCCGCAGCAATAAAATCCACCCAAGAAGCTTGCAAACAGAGCAGTCTGACATGAAAACCGAGGGGTTATTTGCGTAGAAACTTTTCCCATTTGTGGATGAACATTTTTTTTTTCCTTTTTTTTCCTTTTACTCAACCAAACTAAGTGTGGCTGCAGCATGCTTGTAATCTTAGTGATTGTTTCAGAATGGTGGAGGGATGTGGACAGCTTACAGCCAAGATTACAATGTCTTCCTTTCATACTTCAATGGCCATTTACTGAGCCTTCTTGCAAGAGCAGCTAGTTATTATGATTATATACTGTACAGATCTGTTACAATTGTACATGGAGATGCATGGACAGTGGGGTCCATTAGTAGCCAGTAGCAAAATTAAAGGATCCACTCTGGGTGTTATTTGCCTTAGGCAATCCACACAGCCTCCTTCAGCAAAGCACTGAACAACAGCTCTACAGAGTGGCAACGGGCAGGTAGACAAGCAGGCAGACAGGATGAAGCAGTGTGGAAGTGGCAGGAGATTGGTTTCTCTTGGTCATGTGACTTCTTGTCTGGAAAGATTCTGCCTAAATTTGAAGGACCTGCAGTTCCCACCTATCTTTGTTACTGTGGCTGTCTTGAGATGATGAGTGAAAGAGCTGATGCCTGTTTCCCAGTGGAAACTCCACAGCTCCCAATACCTGGTCTAAAATATCCCAGGAAACAATACCAGGTTAGCCCAGGGGACCAGTTCACAGGATCTTAAAACTGGATGCATATGCAGAACCAGCCATAGTAGTAGAATGATCTTCTGGCTAGCTTCTGAATTTTTCTGTGATTATATTTCCATGCGTAGGTGACTCTTAGACTAGATCAGTGTTTCTCAACCTTGGCAGCTTTAAGATGTGTGGACTTCAACTCCCAGAATGCCCCAGCCAGCATGCTTTCTGTGGAATTCTGGGAGTTGAAGTCCACACATCTTAAAGCTGCCAAGGTTGAGAAATATTGGACTAGAGCATCTCCAGTAAGGAAGGGAGATGCTTTTAGAGTGACAGCAGCTAACTCGAGCCCCAGCATTTTGGAGGTAACATATGCATAGTGCACATGCAATTTCTTGAAAATGAAGAAATATAAGCAGCACTTGCAGATAGAACATCTCATTCAAGCCCTGTTTTTGCTATGGACTTAAAAAAAAAAATTATTATATGTGAACATTGGGACTTAACATCTTGGGGAAATTAATATCTGTTGGTGACCATTTTGAGATGTTTTGTGTGATTTTGGTCATAATGGTGTTGAAGTCCAGGAGACTTTGTGCTGTTCTTATGGTTGTTACCTTGGCAATTTTCCAGGTTGCTCAAATTCCAGGTAAATTGCAGTAAAACATTGCATTTCTTTTCCCCCTTCCTGTACAGATATGTAGCCTGGGACAGAGTGCAAACATTGCCATCATAGCAATACTATTAATTGTAAGCCAAGTATTTAATTCTTCTTTTGTGAAAAAGACTGATGCTGTGACTTTTGTCTGATTGTTTTTCCTCTTCCTTGGATATACATTCAATAAAGATTTAGTGTGTCATTCAGCCCCATCCATTCTCATTCTCTCTCTTTCTATTTTGCCCAGTTGCATTGCACATGATTCAGTTGACATCCCATTGCCCTCATGCTATTTCCACTTGAGTGCTTATGTATTGATCAGTATTACTATCTGTCAATCAGTAGCGATACAGGACTTACTAACTCTGTGGTGTGGATATCTTAGACGTCTTCCAAACTTTCCCACTTCTCTTACATCTGTCGTATTAGTTGCTGGTGTATGACGCATGCTCACATAACTTCAGAGGATGCAGCCTTATATTTATTGATAGATGTCTATAGAGGGCAGAGAAAAACATAGTAGACAATGTGCCAGAGTAAGGAAAAGGCATTTGGTTTTGATTGTAACCCAGTGAATTGTATAGTACTTCTACAGTAGGTTTCTGTATATAAGCTGCTCTGCTAATATTATTGTACTTGGTCTCATGATACTCGTAGAAGGTAGATATAAGAAATACTGAGGCCATTTAAGTGGTGGTTTAACTAAACAGTCTCCCATATCTGTATGCCATTTCCTGCAGCGACCATCAATGTTTAGAAAGACTGCATCAACAACATTGCCCTTGCTTTCCTTTTCTTTCCTAATGTATTGATATGTCTGCTTGTCCAAATAGATCTCCTTTTTCACAACACAATTAGATACTTCAGTTAATTAAAAAACAACATACGCATTAGGTTGGCAGCAGATCCATTGCCATTAATGTTGCTTTGATGCAGGTCTTCAAGGAAAGAAGCAACTGTAATGCTGCAAAACATATCTCACCTTGGAGGCGTCATTTACACAATCGGTCTGCTGTCTGTATGAGCGTTGTTGAGTATTCCCAGGTACAGAAGCAATAAGAAAGTAGGTGATAATAGATCCTGGGAACAATTCTACAATTACAGCCTGGTAGGTTTAAGCAGATGAGCATTAAGGTGGAATGGCAGCAGTGATTTAGTTCAGTTTCACATTGTATTTGTGTATATTGTGTGTGTGTCAAAAGGGGTAATATTTGACTGAACCCTGAGTGAAACACTTGAGTGAAAGTTATTTATTAATGAGAAGAAAGTCTAGGTCAACCATCTCCAACCCAGCACCCCTCATTTATCCTGAGGTTAAAAATCCCAAAATGCCCAGCCACAATGACAAAGCATCCGTAGGACATCAAATTGACTAAAGGTTACCCAGAAATTTCAGAACTTATTTATTTATTTATATTTATATAAATTTGTCACCACCCATCTCATTAAAAAGTGACACTGGGCGGTTTACAGAAGAGAAAATCAATTAAAATACAATATACGCTAAAACCTTGGTTTGCGAGCATAATTAGTTCTGGAAACTTGCTTGTAATCCAAAGCACTTGTATATCAAAGCGAATTTCCCCAT